CAGGGCTTTTTTTTTTTTTTTTTTTTACTTTTCGCTTGTGGAAATCTCTTTCAGCTCCATGCTTTTCGGCCAAATTTAATCTGCAAAAATATAAATGCAATTTCAATCGATATCTACTATCCTCCTGATTACTCTTTTTTTCTTTCTGCCCATTATTAATGTTTCTGTTCTTAATTCTTCCACACCCTGTAATCCCTTTTGTCTGAGTGGAAAACCAGACATGTTACGGAAAACACAGCAGCAACATCTTTCTAGCTTTGGTTAGTAAACATTCTAGTTGATGGTCAATGCTCAAATCGGTTAAGCGACTGGCTAGCAACTCCACTCCGTAAAAAACCGTCATGCTATGAAAACCTCATCCGCAATACCTACAGTAGCGAGACACTATACTCCACAATGAAACCTACAGAGTTTTCTTTATTTTTAATATTAATATTTCATGTATCTCACCACGAAGCCTTACTCACCGAGTCACTCTGAGCCGGGGATTAGTGTTATGTATAGTTTATACGTCATATTTCTTGCATGTAGATGATGATAAACCCACTCACTATCTGTCTATATCTCTGTGATAAGGTATTATGATTACTTGAGTAGGCCCGAGAGTTAATGAACTTTTGATAGATATATTTGAGACTCAGAGGAGCAATGGCGTCGTTAATTTGACCTTGTAGAACAAAGACTGCTAGCATCTTTAAAAAAATCATGTCGATTCTCTGAAACCGTTAAAGCAATGAAATAGCAGATAAAGATATTTCTGTTCGGAAAGGAGACGAAAAACATTTTTCTCTTATTAAACAGAAATTATAATTTTAAAATAAATTTTGCTCTTGGTAAATTTAAAAGAAAAGCCGCAGGTTAGCAAAGTTTACATCTCGAGACAGGTCAGAAAATTTTTTTTTATTATTCCTGGCGTCTTTTCAGGCTCATAACTCTCAAAAACTTCCTTTATGCAAAGTTACACTCTTTATCATACCCACCCCGGCTTCTGGACTTCGGTAAACTTGCTTTTTAACCCCTAAACGCCCGTGTGCTAAATATCTCTTAAAATATCTCTTAAAATTTTCCCAAATCTTCACAATTCCGTGTAAATGTACGCCAACGGAAGTACTACGCAGTGAATTACTGAACATTATGGCAGTAATGGGGGACGAATGATCAACAAGAAGTCCGATTTTTTTGTCGTATCTCCAAAACGGTAGGTTTCTTCATAATTTAATTGTTAATTCGAGTTTAGCATATACATTTACACGGAATTATGACGATTTGGGAAAAATTTTAAGAGATATTTAGCCCGCGGGTGTTTGAGCGTTAAAAAGCAAGTTTACCAAAGTTCACAAGCCGTTTTTTCTTATTTTGTGTCCAGAAATTTAAACTACAACTTTCAAATTAAATTCTCCATCAAATTTCTCCAATCCACCAGACAACACTTTTGTAAATTTTGGTAACGATATTTTATCAAGAGTATAGATTCTGCCTTGCAATTTCGATTCTTTCAAATTCTTTAATCCTTTGCCTGTCCTGCGCAGGACATGTGATTTCCCCGTCCTTGCATCATATGTCTAGCACACGAGCCATGATTTTAAAAGAGTGGTAAAACTAAGGACGCTTAAGAAAGGACTCTACTATTGAGCAGGACGTCTGAGGAAAGGCCTAATCTAATATTTTGGGCATCATATATGATCACATGACGCTTGACTGGTGACGTAAGGTCTGAAATGAAAGATATCTATTTTTCCACTTTATTGAAATAATTACAACCCTTGCATTTCAGGCGATGCACAGAGTGCAGTGTAAATATCATTTGTATGTTCTGTGCAACATATGTGATGCACTGGTTTTTATTATGCGTGACACTAGATTTGGTTAGTAAATATTCTATGATATGAGCAATGCCCAAACCGCTTAAACATGGGGTTAGCAACTCCACCCCATAAAAAACGGACTTCCTGCTACTTTATAGCTTTGGTTAGTAACCATTCTAGTATATGGACAATGTCAAAACCGCTTAGGCATGTGTCTCGCTACTGAACGCCGTAAAGAGCCGACTTGCTACGGAAACCACAGCAGCTACAACATTCTAGTTTTCGTTAGCAAACTTTCTAGTATATAGACAATGTCAAAACCGCTTATCAGCACCAAATTTGCCAAATCAGCTGAGTTTACCTTGAAGTAGTTATAAATCTGAAAACAAGAATGAACGTTTGGATAGTACACACGGAATTGCTCTGGGCAGGCAAAGTGCTGTTTCAAGTCATGCTGTCTGAGGCTTCTACTGTTTCTTCTCAAAGTGGATACAGTTGTTACATCTGCGTCCTTCAGGTTCTGTTTTCCATAAGTATGGCTGATGTTAACTTCTAGAATAGTGACTCGTTCGTTTTTGGGGGGCTAACGTTTCCAGCTGACATGAAGTGGAAAGATTATCCATTGCTAAGTCTGCTGTTAGGAAGGTTGGTTCACTGTGTCGCAGTAGACAATTTTTCTCGCCGCTATCTACCTTACACATTTATAAGTCTACCATTCATCCTTTCTTTGAATATTGATGCCACATCTGGTCGTGTGCTTCTGCTGTGTATTTATAGGTTCTTCATAAAATCTAAAGAAGATTCTGCAATGCTATTCGTCCTGACCTAGCATCTCCGCTTCAGTCACCTTCCCACCACTGTTATGTAGCTTCTCTATGACCTTTCCCCAATTACTTTCATTTGGCAGAATCGAAAATATCGATTTTCATCATTATACATAGAAGCTTCTGTGCATAATATAAATTTTCCCAACACCATAACATAGCTTTTCTGAGCCTTTTCTAAAGGATGTGACAGAACTACCTCCCAGATAATGATAAGACCTGACTAGCAATGGTGTCTTCGTCTAGCTAATGTCAGTCCATTATGAGGGAGATATTTCTGCCTCATCCTGTATAAATAGTTTCTTGGCAATTCTTCTGATGAATTTTCCTCTTTGGTACCTCGAGTTTACGAATTTAAGTGCAGTACAAGATTGGCATCAACGTCTTACCATTTTACAGTTGAAATAGCGCGATGTAACCGTAAGTTCTATGCTAACAGTTTCTTCTCGCGCACTCTTCGCTAGTGGAACTCTCTTCTGGCTTCTTGCTTCTCAGTGCAATTTGATCTTCAAAAATTTAAATACAATGTCAATCGTCATATTTTGTTTTCTTTAAATCCTGTTCTTTTATTGTCCTCTCTCCTGTATAATGTTTTTTTTTTCTCAGATTCTTTCACTCCCAGTATCCTTCTACATCTTAGTGGCTTTATTGCCTTACTTGGGGTGAAATTATTAAAAAGTAAATTTCTAACATTTCTCAGTTGTTTATTTTGTTTCAGTAGAACTTAGTTATCTTGGAATAGAGCGAAATTATGGCTTTCACAAGAAATACATTTTACTGCAGTGAATATTTGTTACCTGTTGGGATTTGCTGAAATGAATATAGATCCTTATAGAAGACTAAAATGCATCGGAGTAAAAACATGTTAAAACCGAGACTAAAGTTTCAAATATCAAATTTCAATAAAGATTAAATATAGCTAAATTTTTTTATTCCCTTGTTTGTTATTTCTGATAAGTTTTTTCTTCAATTTAATGTTGTTTTTTTTTATCATAAACGTTCTTGGTCAAATACTTCTCAACTGTTAAAGTTACAGTAAAATACAGCGTACAAGTCGAGTTTTCAAGACTAAAAATCTTTCTCAAACTAGCGGTCGACTTATATGGTGAATATAAAATGCAAACCTTTACCACCGAGCTGTAAACAAGTGGGACACCACTCTTAACAATATCTATACACCTATTAACGTACCTCCAGCAAGCTGCTACAAATATATCCCGCTAAAACTTGTGTTTGGTGAACATATTTAACATATTAACATAGAAATTAATATAAAGTGATAAAACAGTAACACAAATTCAGTATTCTATTAACTCCACATCACATATCGCGTCCAACCGCTGATGCACTAAGTGTAAACACTGACCGATTCATTGTTTAAATCAGGTGGCCATTCAGACTAACTTGAGACAGTGTTTTAGATTAAAATACGATACGTAACGGTTCTATCAAAAAACTACCTTGTATGATGTGTAATCTACAGTATTAATATTTTATAAGTGTTGATGTTGATTTTAATGTGTTTATCAGTAGACCTGACGAAATTTAAATGTTCGCTAAGTTATACCGATACCGATAAGTGTTGTAGGTTGTTTTCTATACAACGCATACAAATAATGTTACGGGTAGTGTCTCAATATACAGGTAAATGGCGTAACCTCATGCCATTTTCGAACAGGTTATCGTATACTATAGACTAACTTCATTTACCGATAGGCCTAGTTTTGGGGCCACTGTTAGTTAGCCTACCGTACACTTTTGGGTCGACCTATACGATAGTTATCGGCCTATCTCAAAATTTTGTGCTAAATCTTGCGGTTGACTCGTACGCCAGGTAGATACGTACGTCGCAGTTTATGGTAGTATCGTAAGTATTCTCACTGTTAAACTTAAAATATTTTTTCTTAATCATATTGTCGTTTTTATCACAAATTTCTATGTCGAATATTCCCCGGCCGTTAAAATAAGTAACATATGTTTAATTTTTTCTATTAGTTTTAGACAAGACTTTTCTTCCGCTTATTGTTGCGTTGTGTAGCATTGAGCAATGGCCACCTTTGAAATATTAATAATTACAGTAACGTAGAATTTTGTTTATAGATGAGAAAGATAATCTATGGTGAAGTTTGTGCCCAGAGAATCTGTGTTTCGTCAGAATTATTATTATAAAATGTCAGAATAATATTGTTTATATGAACTATGCAATACCATTTGAGAAGAGATTGTTCATTTTATCATGAAGGTGGAGAGGTCAGTAATCAGGTTGTATTATCAGTTTACCAACACCCCGGGTTTTTGTTGCTACCATCGCGTTTATTTAAGCGCGTGTTTGTGCGAAAACAAAGAATTGAAGTCAAAGTTGAAGTTGGACTTAGAACTGGGTGAAGTAGTTGACAAGCAGTCGACCAGAGAGATAGATAGGCAGTAAGAGGGAAAGCGTCTGCTTGCTGTTCTAATAAGAGAGGAAGTGAACTCGAGTTATCTGCAATATTGGCGCAATACTGCCAGTGAACCGCTTTATATCCTGATAGTGAAATAATTACGGCAACTACTAAGAACAAATAAAAAGAGAACCCGAAAACTACTTCTCTCCTTTCAGAATCACTTGTAATATTTGTTTGTTTGTTTTTTCTGGACTTTATTTCATATAAACTACTTTCTTGTAAAAGAATCATTATTCTTTTTTGTACCAATTTCTTCATTATATACATATACATAGATTTTTCTTTTGACTCGAATCTACTTGTTCATATTTGATTTTTTTTTTCTGCTTGGTCCGATTCTCGCCCCAACGAACTTGCAGATAGACAAGCTGAATCTTCCGAGATTTCCAGGACCAAAAAATAAAAAAAAAAAAAATAAAAAAAATCCCATGGCTGGAAAGTGGAAAGGAATCGACATTAATTGAACCGGTAATACTGGACTAGGACAATTTGATTGTAAATTTAACTTGATAAGAATTTATTTCTTTCTTACCTGATTGACCTCCCAAACTCAGCGAGGCAGAAGGAATATAGGAGGTATATACAAAAAATAAAAAATAAACTTTTTAAAAAAAGCTCTTCTATCCACTCCTCTTTAAATGAATCGCATTTTACCAAAAAATATACACCTAGAACAAACATTTTAAATTAGTGATTTCAAAAGTTAAGGAGGGGTATAAGGTCAGAATTAAAATTATACTTTTGAAAAACTTTAATTCTGAACTTATGTCCTTCATAACTTTCGGAAAGGAGGTAAAGGTTTGTTTTTAAATTTCCCTAAAAAATCATTTTTATTTTTTTAATATTCTGCAACCATGCAGTTCCGTCCTGTGTCACTGCATTAACAAAATGACGTCCATTTATGTTAGAGCCTCGTTTTGGTAGAAAACCGGCCCAATCAGAGTTTTGTGTTGGTTGTCCATTCATTGATTACATCGCCTCCTTTTATTGTAGACTTCACTTCATGTTTTTTAGGCATTGTCAATCTCAGTTGCTCCCAAAACTTGTCGATTTCTTTTTGCTTCTTACCTTCCGGCCATTTTATGTAGGTAATGGAATTAAGAATTAGTTTCAAGTTTTTATCAACGTCATTTATGCAGTCTATGTCCCGGTACATAATTGGTATAATTTTATGACGTAAGTTGAGCATTTCCTGCTGTGCCACCTGGTATTCCATCCGAGTCCATTCGCCGCTGACATAGTCAGGGGAGACAACTAGAATTGTTCTGCGGCTTTTCTCAATGGCGTCGATTATGTTATTCGAGATTGCTGCGGGTATTAAAAATAAGGAAAGAAAAAAAAACAACATTTATTAAGTTTGTACATTGTCCGGACATTATAAAAATATTTTAAATTATTGCATTGTATACTAAATTATTTTATATGATTAGTAAGTTCAAAATTTGAAATTTAGATTAACTTTTCATTTTTAAGCCATCGTCATTTCTCTTTTAGTATCTGTTTAAATAGTGACCAGCTACACTATATCTTATGGTTTATTAAAATTCTAAAAATACCGCTTTAAAACTATAGAATTTACTGTGGGATTTTTTTTCACGAAGGCCTAAAGCACACACCCCAAAAGTACAATAGGAAACCAAGAAACATGAAAGCTTTTGTGTAGCGATGTATAATGTTTTTATTTTAATCTCTTATAATAAAAAATATTATAATAATATTTTGCATTTAAAAAGTAAATGCTAATGAACTGTGGAATTTTGCTCCATTTGTTTTTTCTCTTATTTGTATATATATATATATATATATATATATATATATATATATATATATATATATATATTATAAATTAATTGATTTAAAAGTATGTTTTTTTCGCTACACAGTTCTAACCATGTTTCAAAAATGGAAGCTAAAAGCCCCGAATTTAATTTTGTAATTAAATTAAAGACATTAGTTCCATTTCATCCTCAAGCGAATTTTGGAGTAACTTTTAAAATTACAATTTTGAGGATCTATGGGTAAAATCTCAGAGTAGACTGGGCTGTGTAGACTTGATTGCTAATGAATGTAAAAAGACAACTCTGAAGTGAAAACCTTTTAGTAGACAACAGGAAGCTACACCACTATCTTTTCCAAGAACAGTCGTGACAGTGTATAGATATTAAGTTAAAAGGAAGCTGAGGAGAGCCATTATCACCTACTTCCTGAAATGACTTTGCTAAAATAAATTAATAAATGAAATAAAACTTTACTTACTCTCCCCAACAAGAAAATCCCGGAAATGGACGCAGATTTTGAAACCCATTTCATTTTCCAACTTTGGGAACAATGTCTGCAGGACCCAAAACTCATCAATCTTCGAGGAACGAAAAGATATAAAGGCATCGTATAATTTACCGTCTGCAAAATAAATAATAAAAAAACCACAAATGTAAGCGCTAATTTGCATTGCAGGAAATAAATATGAATAGCAAGAGGGAAAAATCCAAACTCTTCAAACTAAATAATAGTTTAGATATTTATGAATAGGTTTTCGCGCCATATATGGTCTTCCTATGAAAGTAGGTACTGTAGGTGGGGTGGGGGCTGTACCCCTATTATTTATTTTGTGAAGAATAAAAATTCCTGACGTCGGACAAGAAAGGAATTAAAAATAAGATGAACACGTATTCAATCTGTGACATGAAACAAAGTAAATTATATTCACAAAAATTTACATTTAGGTTTGTAAGAATGAGTGAGTTGGGCGAAGGTAAGTTTTGGGAACATTCATGTCCTGTTTCTTGATGTATTGGCCGCAACTGACGATATTCAGTCACTCAAGCCCCACGATTTGGCGGCAAAAAAGGTTACACTAACCCCTGCCCTGATTGGCCGAATCTATCCAATCAGCGGACATTTAACATATGTGCGCATATGTGAGGATATGTGGGTATTGTGTGTGTGTGTGTGTTTGTGGGCGTAAAGTTCCACAGTACCCCAACTTTGTCGCTGAAAAACAGCATAGCATGATGAAAAAGGCCTCAAACTTAATAAAAACAACGTTGTATCGTCAAAATGTTTATGTTATTATTAAAAGGAAAGACCAAAGTATGTTTTTACTATTTTATTCAGTTTTTTAATCATTTTTAGCACGTTCGAAATTTTGGTTAAAAATCTTGTTTTTTATCTTCCGCGGTCAACGTAATATTTACAATTAGAGTTTTAGCATCTTTTTTTCAGGTGAAAAACACACTGCAATAATCAAATAATTGTCATTTTTTAACGAAACTTTCAGGACTTATGAAAAAATAAATGAAATCTTGGTAAAAAGTATATATATATTACCACACCATTTAATTAATTTCATGAAATTTATAGAAATTAAATTTCAATCTCAAAATTTTTTTTATTAGTTAAAAACAGGACTCCTTGGAGTATGTAAATCAAATATTTTTCTTCAAACAACTACACAGTTCCCGAAAATCTGCTCCGAATCGTAAAATAAAAATACAATAAAACTATGACATTATTTATTTAGAAATTTTTTTTAATTGCTTTTATAAATACGATTTATTAAGGACACTATCGTCATAAAAAAAAAATTGGGTGAATAATCAATTTTTAAAAGAATTGTTTTCGTTTTATTTTTAAATTTTAATCATAATAATTTAAATCGTTTCAAATTCTGCATTATTTTAATCTGGTTTTAGGTTATATTGTTATTAAGTGAAAACTATGTTTACGAATCAAAAATTGAAAAGCTTAATAAAAGTTGTTTTGCACCAAGAATTTTAAAAGAATTTTATTTATTCATTTTTTATTTTTTTAGTGTAGAAACTTTCCCATTTTCGTAAGCATGGGAATCCATCGCGTGTTTTAAGAGCTGTCCACTCCACAGAATAATTTGGCCGTCTGCAATTCTTTCAGTATTCATTTCTGTGCTTCATCGTGTTTACTTGTCAACAGGCGTTGCAAATCAAAATTTTAAACTTTAAATTTAAAGTAATTTTTACTTTTATTAATTCCTATTTCACTAAATATATCTATTTTGTGCATTTATTTTAGTGAGGGTCATATTTCAATTAAGTAAATTTTAATTTTAGTTTCACAAAGTTAAGAACCTGAAAACCAAACTCTATATAATTCTACTAAAAAATCATTTTTACTTTAATTCAAATTAAATTTTTCTTATTTAATTTCTAATTGAAGTTCTTATTGTTTTTTTTTAATCTGCGTCTCATTTTGAAATTTCCTTTCAAATTATTTTTATTTTAACTCTTATTTCATGAAAAATGTTTTGTTTTTTTTGGTAGTTTTTTGCTTTTTACTTTTTTAAGTTAATTCTTTTTTGTGAGAGTTATTTTGATAAAAAACGAAGGCTATAAATCTGAAGTAACTAAAATTCAATAAAATATTAGATAATTGCTGAAAATATTATGTTAATTTTTAAGAAATACTAGGTAGTTAAAAACCAAAAATAAATCATTCACTTAGATTTCGTAAATTTATGTCAATTCTGGTCAACCATACTTAATTTTTTAAATATGTCAGACTGTCAATCAATTAATCAACACGTCAGAAAAAACAAGACCCTTTCTTTAAGAAATGCTTGTATACGACGTTTTATACTATAAGTAAGTATTATTTGTTTCAATTCAGATTAATTTAACTTTAAATTTACTAATTTTTCTCAAATAACGTGACATAAATATATATTTTATTCTGGAAGATTTTTAAAACCGAGAATTAACCTTTGTTTAAAAATGTGTCAAAATGGCTGATATTTATCGATTTTCTGAAAATTATCAAACAGTTGAGATTCCAATCAATATATTTTTTTTATTTGAAATACACGAGTTTTCTTTTCTTACTGGAAATAGTAAGTTTAATCATTTAGCTTACAATTAAAGCTAAAAAGAAAGCGTTTTCATTTTTAAAAAATCATGTCGAGGATGTTTAAAAACATGACTCTAGTTTTCAGGTATAGGAGTAGATATGTTTGGCAATTGTCCGGCCCCCACACCTCCTCGTTCTTTTGAACAGTAATCGGGATTTATTGTTTGTTTCCTTTTTAGGACAGGGTTTCCAGTTCCTTCTAAAGTCTTCTTGGACATCTCGAAGCGGTCTTAAAGTTAGAAAGCTTGTCTCACTAGAACAATTACGACTGAATAGTCTGCTTGATCTCCGCTGGGTGTCCCCATTCTTTTGGCCTGGTGCCACGTCTATGTTATGTTTAGAAAACCAAGATTCCTTCTAAAGTTTTCTCATTCCTTTTCCCTCGCAGTAGCTCTTTGGGTTTTAGTGACATTATAGCCTTGCTTGGGGTGAATTGATTGAAAAAATATAGGAGAAGGAAAAACAAGGGAAAAAAATCAGAATGAGGTAACCAGTTATCGCTCATCACTATTCGGAAATTAACCTTTATAAAAAAATAAAATTAGTGCACAAACCGAAAAAGGAGAAAACAATATATATATATATATATATATATATATATATATATATATATATATATATATATATATATATTTTAATAATATATTGAAACGAATACATTTATTTTTGTTAAACAAATATTAAGTTCACGCAACCAATTCTTTTAGTCGGTACGAATAATAAGCTTATTTATTTACACCCCTGTGCAGATTAATTGAAACAAAAAATAATTTCCTTTCTTTCACTATACGGTCAGTTTTAGACCCACTGAAATGACAGGGTGTAATTGATTTCTATTTTTACTCAGATTAGTTCATTTGCAGTGGTGTTCAGTATTATGAATCTATTTTCGGGCTGTGTGATGAAATGTGACCTTGAAAAATATTGCGTCATCCGTGATTGCATCAGATTTTTTTTATCACGCCCAAACACTATTGTCTCGACTGTCGATTAGTTGTCCTACGGCCATTATCTGCGCTGGACGTTACTCCAAGGAAGCGTACGAAAATTGTAACGCTGCACGAACACACTGGCAAGCCTTACCAGTGAGCAAATCAAAGTACTATTGACTGGCCTGGAAACTCTCCTTATTTAAATCCAATCGAGAATATGCAACGAACGACTTCGTGGAATGAACATAAGAAGTATTAATATGTGCACTGAGTCATGTTTCATTATGAAAAAAAAGTAAACAATAACAGAATTATTCGTTTTGTTTCGATTAATTTGCAGAAGGGTGTATATACGTTTTAATAATATATTGAGACGAGTAGATTTTTTTAAATAAATCATGTTAAGTTCACACAACCAATCCTTTTGATAGGTGCAAACAGTAAATTTATTTCTTCACCTCGATTGAACTCAGACGAAAAGGGAGCCATAACCAGTTAATTAATTGTATTTTTTTTCTTTTTTGTGTTATGCCCATTTAAATAGCTGTAACTGTAATAAAAATTTGTATCTCTAAGAAAGTACCTTAAAAAAGGTAGATTTTACTGAATTATGAACTTTTCAAAAACATAACCAGTTATGTGCCATGCGTGATACACGCTTAGGAGATCATGTATCTTCCGATACATGACTGACGAGGCAGATTTTTTCCCGCAGTAGGTTGCCATTTCTTTCTACTGTAGACCAGTTGCCATCCAAGGCTATAGAACCTAGTGTGTCCTGCTATTTACCTATAGCAGGGGGAAGAAGGGGAAGATTCATATCTTTCCCAAGGGTATTAGCATGTAAGTGAATTTCATTCAGTTATGTGCCATGCGTGATACACGCTTAGGCGATCATGTATCTTTCGATACATGACTGACGAGGCAGTTTTTTCCCGCAGTAGGTTGCCATTTCTTTCTGCGGTAGACCAGTTGCCATCCAAAGCTGTAGACCCCGATCTGTCCTGCTATTTACCCATAGCTGGGGGGAGAAGAAGAAGATCCATACTATTCTCAAGGGTATTAGCACGTAAGTGAATGTAATGGATTCGACTGGAATCTATTACTCCACCGTGCCTCCATAATAAAGAACTGTAGACTATCCAGATCGGTATGCACCCGCGGAAGGCCGGAGAGCACAACAAGCGAAATGTCGTGAACAACAAAGATGAGGACAAGTGTCCGAATATAAATATTGTGAATTACGATAACTCCTCATACCAGAAATTCAGACAGAAATAAATTCAGACAGAAATAAAGAACTAATGTCTTACCTGTGTCTTCGTATTTCTGAAGGTAATAAATGATCTTCATAACGAAAATCACCCTTTTTCGCCATATTACATAAATAAGCAAGGCGGTGACCAAAAGCAAAACAACGGGTAAGACAAAGAGGAAGATAATTATTGGTGAGGTGAACATGTCATTTTTGCTGTCATCTGAAGGAAAAAAAAGATAATGTTATTAAAATTTATACGCACTTTTACATTTATTTAAAGCAGATGGGCATTTATTAAAATATTCGCACCTTTATTAAAAAATTAATGGATATTTATTCAAAGAGTATAGATATTTATTCAAAATGTGCAAACATTTATTCAAAGAGTATAGACATTTATTTAAAAAGTATAATCATTTATACAAAATGTATAAACATTAATTTAAAAAGTATAAAATTTAATTAGTTATATTAATTTCTAATTTAATCTAATCTTAACTTTAATGCGCTAAAATTGTACTTAGGTTATATTGTCACGTTTTTTGTTTTTTGTTTTGAATTATCATATACTTGTATTCTGATTGGTCATCATGTATTACGTAACGATGTTTCCACTATTGAAGAGGTTTGGGTTGGTTTTGAACTTTTAAAATACTTTATATTGTAATCAAAACCATCACTTTACAAAACGCCAGAAGTGTTGAAACAAAATGGCTATTTTTGTGGTGGCGTTATAACATCCTTATATTATAATTTTTTAATAAATATATATATATATATTGAACTGTTTATATAAAATATTTCAATCGGCTTTTTTAATATTTTAATATTTGGAAATCATCTTCGAATACGTTTTCACAACATCGCCCACGTGACGACAACGTGATCATATTTAAACGGAAGGCCGATCTTATATAAAAATTTCAGTTATCTGTTTGGATTAGTTGTGCTCTTATGTCCATCGTCTTTTCGTGTTAAATTTTTATATGTTCTAATGTTAATTATGTTTAAATGAAAATGTCCATGAAGATGGTCTTAAATAGACCGAAACGTCCGACGTCGACTTTATATTAACATTAATACAGCATAATTGCATATTAAAATTTTTGTTTGTTTTTTCTGTATTTTTTTTCATATACATATATATATATATATATATATATATATATATATATATATATATATATATATATATATGTTATGCTGTGGCGAACAATTTTTTTTTCTTCCATGAAATGAATTCGAATCTTCGTCATACATATTTCTGGTCCAAAGGTCCTTGTACCACGGGTGATGGTCCAAATGTAGAACCAATAAAGAAGAACTCGAACACGGATATGGAATAACACATATATATTACAAACAGGAATATATATACAGAGAAGTAGAAAGTGTTAGTACGAACAATCAGGTTTAGTAGAGACAACAATGTAGTCTCGACCAGTATCACTATTTCAATGTCATGTAGTAATTGTCTGAACGCGACTCTGTTTCGGATTGCCTCTGACTCGACTGACTGACTCGCTCGCTCTGACTGACTGACAGACACCTGGCGGACTTCTGACGGACCTCACTCCAGACTTCAGACTGAACGATATTCAGTCACCCCCACCACGAGGGCGTCATTTGGCACAAGGCCTTTTTAACGTGGGCTCAGCCAAAAATATGCCCATTGAACCCGTATAAAACGGGTTCAGGGTTGGTTTACCTCCCCGAAAGAGACTTCGCCATTCGGCGGAGCCTCGTTCGGGTTCCTTCCCGCCCGAAGGCAGAGAGTTCAACCGATCAGATGATCAGCCGGTCGTCATACTTCGGACTGAACTCTCTGCTTCTTCTTGAGGAGCAGTATTTAGGGGGTGAATGAGTATGATGTGTGTAAGTGTTATATTACTATGGGTGTGTGTCATCATTTGGCTCATTAGGGAGTAAGTGGATATGATGTGTGCAAGTGTGCATATTCATGTGGGTGTATGTATAAGTGTGAGGCCTCAACACCTCCGCAAGCATATCTGTCTTGTGCTGGTGAGAAATGTGGGTAGGTCCTGATTTGTGGGTTTATATATTAGTACTATCTATATTGTTAAATTTGTGATTAAACCCGTCCCGTGTGTTTTTAAACGTCGAATCCACTTATTTTCATGACACTCTAAAATCTTTCTAATGTTATCTGCTCTGAACTTTTCTATTCTCTCAATTATAGTGAATTTGGTATGGGTTTTGAAATCGTGTTTTGTCAGGCGGAAATGTTGTTCTACAGGTATAATTAATTTTTTTTCATAGAGATTCGACTTAATTTATTAATTCTGTATAATTATTAATTCTGTATAGTGATTCTAAGGGCCATTTTTGAGATTTTCCTACATATTGTTTTAAAATAGTGTGAATTCTTTTAATATGGTTGTAAATTCTTTTGTCCCCTGAAAATTTGAACTTCCTATGGATTCTTGTAGGTTCTTAGATCTATGATTCTTTTAGGTTCTTAGAAAGATATGCGGGTTCCTCAAACAATTTTTTTTTAGGTCTGGTTTGAGATGTAGTATTTCCCAGCGACTTTTGATTATTTGGGATAGTGGCGGCAAAGTGGGTTGAAAGTGGTTACTAGAGGGATGCGGCTGGGTTTATTTTTTAATCTTGTATATTAGGGTTGTCCTCTCTATATGGAAATTGCTTTATTTATTTGTTCCCTGATTAGGTTTTGTTTATAGCCACGTGTTGTGAATTGATGTCCAGATTTTCAATGTGTTTATTTAAATCTTCATTGTTTGGAACATATCCTTCTAAGTCTAAGTTAACTTGTGAATAGGGAAGGTTCTCTTTGAGGTATTTAGGGTGGGAAGACTTAAAGTGTAGATAGTTGTGGGTGGCGGTGATTTTAGTGTGTAGTGTCGTTTGTAGTTTCCTGTTTTCATCCATGTAAATGTGGGTGTCTAAAAATGTCCTCACTACACGTGTATACAAAGAATATATCATCGATATATCTTGCATAGAATACGCAGTGGCTACCGATGAGGGGATAGATATGGTTCTCCTCAAATTTTCCCATGAATATTGTAGCGTATGATGGAACTGACTATGGACGTAAGATCACTCTATTCAAACAAAAAACACATCGAAGGGCTAACCGCCCTTCAGGAAGCCCTTACTAAAAGAAGAAAACAAGACTTCCCCACATGGAGCATATTCTTAATGATGCCCATGGCACAGCCCCTCTTACTTGCAGGTAGTGTGCTCCGCTGAAGTTGAAAGTATTCAATATGCTCCATGAGCTTTATGATAACTTCTGTGGGCGGTCTTGTTTTCTTCTTTTAGTAAATGCTTCCTGAAGGGCGGTTAATTATTAATAGTGTTTAATGTTTGAATAGAGTGATCTTACATCCATAGTCACTAGAATGGCACTGTTTGTATGTGATTCATTTTGTTTAGTAGATCTGTTGTGTCTCTGGTGAAGCATTTTATTTCCTTAGCTAGGGTTTGTATGTAATGGTCTACGTATTTGGAAATTTTGGTCGTGTGGCTGTTGAAAGATGAAATGACCGGCCTTCCTGGGTGTGTTGCTTTTGTGTATTTTAGGAAGGAGATAGAAGCAAGTAGGTGTAATGTTTGTGGGTGTAAGTGTTGTGCATGTTTTCTTGTTGATTAGATTGTTGCAAAACATTATGTTTAGTGAGCTAGTTAATTGTTTTTGGTATTCGAGAAGAGGATATGTAGGTAAGCTTTTATAGGTTTCTTTGTCGGCTAGCTATTTGTTGGCCTCTTTGATGTATTCTTTGATTTCCCAGATCACTGTGGCACCTCCTTTGTCAGGCTGTGTTATGATTAGGTCAACTCTATGTGTCAGCGTGTCAAGGCCTATACGTTCCCCTTCAGTAATATTCTTATGTGGCAGCTTACGTGCTATTGTTTTCTTTATGTCATTTGCTACGGCTATTTCAAATGTCTGCATTGTAATGTCTGTGTTTTGTGGGGTGTATGTAGTGTCCTTCTCTTTTAATGTATCAAGTATGGAAGGTGTGTGATCATTGTCCCCGTAGTGGGCTTTCAGCCGTATTCTTCTTAAGAAGAATTTCAGGTCCTTTGCCAAGGTGTCTTTATCAAACCTTGGGGGACTAGGGCAAAAATCTTTTAATTTATTTAATATATGAATGTATTGAGTGAAAATTTATTGTTACTCAAATTTATAACTCGCCCGTATGGGCCATGTTTGTATTTGCAAGCATGACGAAGTTCTTTCGTAAAAGCTCGAAATCTTGCATCATATCTCCTATTAGGGATGCTATACCCTCATCCAAGTGTCCCCGTTGGGGACTTATCCCGTTTTTTTTAAGGTTGAGTATGATTGCTGTTGATTGTCTACTAGGGGTTAATCTAGGTGGTCTAGGATGTCTAATAGGGTTATATGTTCTGTAGAAGGGCTGCTGTGTTTTGGTTTGTGTATGTTTGTACGGCACCCTAAGGATGTCCGCGTAAGTTAGTGCTTTGTTTTGTGTGTGTGTGTGTGTTTGTTTTGAGGTTCTAGCTATCTAGCTTGATGGTGGTGGTGTTGTTATTGTTGGTTGTGGTGCTGGTGGTTGTCTGTTGGTGTATTTATTTGGTCTCTTTTTTTGTTTGCATTGATTGTGTAGTTGCGGTGTTTTGTTGAGTTTTTTTGTGGTATGGTCGTTCACTTTTTCCTCAGTTTGGCTTGATTTCTCTTTTGTTCTGTCTGGAGAAAATATTCAATTTCAATTTTCTTTGTCTTTCAGTTTTTGTTTTTCGTAGTTCCCTCACTGTTTGGTCTGCGTGAGCTTTTATAACATTCTTTATGTTAGTATAGTTTCCCCCGTGTCTATTTATTTCTTTATTTGCTCATCGATCAGGTTGATTTCCTCTGTTGTTGCCTTGATGGCTTCCTGGCAGAACTGTATGGTATCCTGCAGGAGTTCCCTGGTGGCGTCATGTAATTTACGGTACTATGACGCTAGAAACGCATCATTATTAATATACCTATTGATGGTTCCAAATCAATCCTGAAATTGGTTGGGTATTATTGATATATATATATATATATATATATATATATATATATATATATATATATATATATTATATGTATAAATGTATTAAGTATTTAAACATCAATCCTTCATTTATACATGTTTCATTAAAGACGACAGAAAAAGATTTTTATTTAATTTTTAAACGTTCGAAAAAGTGCCTTCCTTTATTGGACACAGAGTTTGT